TACTTAATAAAATATTTTTTTATTTTTAATTAAAAAAAATTTTACCATAAGTTTTATATATAATTTACAAATTGTATCCTCTACCCTTAAAATTAGAGATTGAACATACACGTGAATTTGCATCAATGTACGAATTGTTTCATGCAAAAAAAGGGCAGCACTAAGATAACAAAAGAAAAACTCTTAAATCTTGAAGCTTATATAATTGTTTTATACAAAATTTTGATGGGATAAATGTATATGAAATTTCATCTCTAGTTAAAATTATATAAAATAAAATAAACTGTTTAATTTTTATCAAATTAAATTTATTAGAAGCTAGTTTAATTATACATTATTCCAGGTTTTATCAGTACTACTAATTTACTTATCAGTTATTCCTAATGGGATCGATCACGAATGTTCTCACACAGAAAACCTGATCAAAATCAATCTAATTAAAAAGAATAAAAAATAAAATATTAAACGTTTAGAAAGTCCTGGTTTTCTTGTGATTGTTTCAAATTAATAAATGTGACCGAAATTATTCATAAGCCGTAATAATTTCGACAAAAGCCGAAACAATTTCGGTCACATGTACCGGTATATATCAAATCATGTCCAATCATGTTAATAAATTTAAAAAAATTAGAAACGGAACGAGCCAGAATTTTTAACATCCAAATATGTACTGTACAATAATAGCAATTACGTATTAACAACGTTTAAGTTAAATGAAATATGCATAACAGATAAATAATGACACAATGATTATCTGACATTTTAAGATCCACCCGAATTGTGCAGTATTATAAATCGTATTTCCTGTTTGTTTAATAAAACTTGAGCGAAGAAAAAAAAAAATAAAAAAAAGACACTCTGTGAATAGCTTTAAAAATAGTAAAGAAAATGCCTAGTGTACTTTATTATTCACTAGCAACAATAGTTTTCTTTGGTAGCAATATATGCGGCTTGTTTGCCTTGTTCATGCCGAATTGGTCAGAATCCTTTTTTTTTTTTTTGCATACTTTATATATGTTGTATCTCTACTTTCATTTATCTACGTTTTACTTGGCTAGATATAATTTTGTTATGTTATTATTATATAAATTTATTTTGAATGGGTCTACGTTGGAAAGTGATTTTTTGATAATGAAAAATGAGCTACAACATATATGTATTATATAATAGACTAAAACTAATTGAATTAGATTTTTTATTTTTTATATCCAATAAAGGTTGCTCTTTGAAAGCCCAAGGCCATATCGAGTATTTACAAATTATGGACTATTTATTGTAAGCTAAAAATATATAAACTCTACTCTGTTATTCTACCATAAATGAGGGTGTACATTGTTCACCAGGTTAAGGTGAATAAGATATTCACTAGCGAAAACCTGTAACTATTAACGAATTTTTGGGAAAAACAAATGTATGCTATCAGAAATGACTAGAATGACTAGTTTGTGTACGTATTTCGAATTACATGTCATCATTACGGAATCAATTTTTTAGAGGTAGAGTCCGATTAAACGAAATTCGTAAATAATTTACAAGTTTTTCTTAAGCCACTTATATATTAGTGGCCCTCATTGATGGTAGAACAGTACGCGTTTATATTAACATTTTGGGATATTAATAAAATTTCGTATTTCTAAAAAAAAAAAAAAAACAGAAATGTTCGAGTCTAAATGCTGATGGTTGTCGACCTTTCCCATCTAATGATTACGATGATTGTGCTGAGGATGGGTTTTGTGAAGAATGGAGTGCTGCTAGAACCGATATGATGCTCGCAAGTGTCATTAGTGGTGTAGCATTTTTTTATTTGTTATATGTACTATTTTTTGGTGGTATAGGTCTTAAACAAAATAGTTGGAAATATATTTCTGGTTTTGTTTTAATTACATGTTAGTATTTTTAAAAAATTATATATGATTAATTTT